GCCTGGCTAATTTTTTCTATATATTTTTAGCTGTCCAAGTAATTTTCTTTCTATTTTTTTTTTTTAGTAGAGACAGGGTCTCCCTCTTGCTCAGGTTGGTCTTGAACTCCTGAGCTGAAAGGATTCACCCACCTCAGCCTCCTTGGGTGTTAGGATTACAGGCATGAGCCACCACACCCAGAATGATTTCTTTTAAGAGTGGAGATGTGGGGCAACCTAGCAAGTACAAATATAATACTTCCTTTCTAAAAAGCAATACAAGATATAACCCCATATAAAGTTAGGAGACATTCAAAAGAGTCCTGTTTGTTTTGATCAATATTTACTTATACATTTCTGTCAGGGTAGGAGAAACTTAATCTTGTTCAATGCAGATTCCACTAGGGTTATAGCTAAGTTATAGGGCGTGTATATAGTATCCAGATATCCACATGGTATGGTGAATTTAATCCTTTAGGTCTATCAATTCATACCATCATCTATAGAGATGCTACACAACTAACCACACAGATTGTTGCCAAGTGTTCCCTTATTCTTGACCTTAAGATCTCTTCAGGATCAGCATTCTTTTAGCCACTCTGTGACTCACTCAGACCTACCTGCCTAAACACAACACTGAACCATATTTATTCTGTGGTTCTGCCACTGCACTGCGTTTTACCTGGAAATGGGGGCATTGATTCTGTTATTTTCACATCCCCCAAACTGATTTAGGTTTTATTGCCTCCCCTCTCCCTTGGGGATTAATTATGGGTGAATAAAGGAGAGGTAGTCACAGGGTATGGGATTCCTTCTTAGGAGATATAATGGGTACAGATTATTTTAGATCAAATAACAAATCATAACCAACAGTGGCTTAAATAATTATCTCACAGAACAAGGAATCTAGAGATCAGGACTGGTACAGCAGCTTAATTACACCACCAATAATTCATCTTCCTGCTGTACTTCCACTTTATCCTTAGCTGTTGGCTTTTGTTATTGTGTTTGTCATTGTGCTTTTCATGTTCACAAGATGACTGCCACATCTCCAGATGTCTCTTCATGGTCAAGGTGGGGGAAAAAGGATTAGCACCAACCATGTTTCACTCTATCAGAAAAGGAAAAGCTTTCTCAGAAATTTTCCTTTCACCACATTGAGTTATCCAACTACCAATAACTGGCATAAGAACCCATGGTTATTTAAGATCTCATTTTTCTTCTCTCTTCATCCCTCATAATCCCAGGAAACTTTTTATAATCTCTCTAGAACAGATACTCAGTTGGCTCATTCAATACCCATTTCCAGTCATCTTCTCCACTGCTTTACTCTCTAGGTTAGAGACTTCTGAATGCTTGATTGCTCAGCTTCTCTTGCTGCTAAGTGTGGTCATGTGACCTGGTTCTAGATAATGTGATGTGTGTTTATGCATATGTGTCTTGCTTTCCCAAATAAGAAATGCAAATTCTCTACAGGAAAAGCTATTTAGATGTGTCATTCCCTTCTCTTCTTACATGGAACATAGCCTTGATGCCTGAAAGTGCAGCAACCATTGCATGACCATGAGGGGACAAAAATGAGGATATCAAGATGACGGAACAAAAAGAATTAATTTGGAACATGATGAAATTATGGATCCATTTCATCAGACCTGTGGGCTGTACCTCTGAACTTTTCAAATGAGACTATTATACTCCTATTTGTTTAAGACAATTGTAGAGTTTTCTGCTACTTGCAGCCAAATGTAATCCTAACTAATATAGGTGAGAAACCATGTTTTTATATTATCATGTAGGTTTTCCAATATAATATCTTTGCCAGAGATATCCCCATTCTCCTAAAAGTTCCCAACTTTCAAAATTCAAACCAAGGAAACAAATCTCTTTTCTCTGACATTTTGCTGGGTCAGAAATTTTGCTGTGGGCCAGGCACGGTGGCTCACGCCTGTAATCCAAGCACTCTGGGAGGCCGAGGCAGGCAGATTGCTTGAGGTCAGGAGTTCGAAACCAGCCTGAGCAAGAGTAAGACCCCAGCTCTACTATAAATAGAAACAAATTAATTGGCCAACTAATATATATATAGAAAAAATTAGCCACGCATGCCTGTAGTCCCAGCTACTCGGGAGGCTGAGGTGGTAGGATTGCTTGAGCCCAGGAGTTTGAGGTTGCTGTAAGCTAGGCTGATGCCACGGCACTCACTCTAGCCTGGGCAACAAAGTGAGACTCTGTGTCAAAAAAAAAAAAAAAAAAAAGAAATTTTGCTGTGTCAGAAAATGATCCTATATAATTTGGCCAAATAGAAAAGGGCTATATGAGATACAAAGAATTATAGGGAGAAATCTTTAATAAATATTAAAGAGTATATCTTACCATACTTACACAGAAACCCACTCAAATTAGGCTAAGATAGAAAGAGAATTTATTCGATGAATGTAAGTATGTATGGATGTAATAGCATGAACCTAAGGTTAGGAAATGCAGTTGTACTTCAGTGTGGACTAGAATCAGGAACTGGAAAGCTGTTATGAACTAGGGCATCTACTCTACCTTTCCTCTATTGACACATGATGTCTTATGATTTGCTTTCTTCTTCTCTCTTGGCATTGTTTTTTTCTGGTTCTCTGTGCACAGAGTAGAAAATAGTCATTTCAGCCATATCAGATCAAATGCAAACTAAGATTGAGTAACATCTGTTACTTTTATTTTTTAATAAAAAAATTCTCTCTGGAGAAAGAATCTGATTGGTCCAATTTCTGGTTGTACATCAGTGTTTACAGCAATTAGTGACCCTGGGATTGGAGTCAAATGACTTAGCAATCTCAGGAGCTAAAGTAGAATAGTCTTTTGAGAAGAGGCAATGGGTATGTGTATGTGGGTAAGTGGTTGTTGGAGAAAAAACAATGGGCATCTCTAATACTCTCCTGAAAGTTCAATATGCTGAAAGGTAAACCAAATTATTGATTCATTTATTCTACAAAAATTAGTCTCACTTGCTTTTCCCTTTATGTTCTCTCTTCAGGAATGTCAGTCCATTCATCTAGTTGCCCACATCATAAACCTCTCCACACCAATAATTATCACAATAGCTAACATTTATTGACTATGTGCACTATGGGATAGATGTTCTACATGCATTATCTTAAATTCAATCTCACAACCATGTAAGTAGGTATTATTTATTTTATTGATAAACAAAGTGAAATTTAGAGATGTTAAGTGCAGCCTTTAGCATCTCACTTGGATTACTGCAGTAACCTCATGTCTTCTTACCTCTGATCTTGCCCCTCCGATCCATTTTTCCTTTCACCCAGTAATCATAGTGGTATTTCTAAAACACAAATGTGATTATATTACTTTCCTGCTTAAAACCCTTTATGGTTGCATCAGGATCAAGTCCAAATTCCTTTATATGATATACAAAGCCTTACATGATCTGGGCAATTTCCATCTTATCAACCTCTATCCTTGTCTCTTTCAGCCGCTCTGTCCTAAACTCCACAGATTATTTGGAGCTCTTAATAGTCCATTTATTACCTCTGTTCAACCACCCTCTTGCCATTCTCCCAGCTAACTCCTGCACATTATCCACACTAAGGATTTGGATTAGATGTCACCTTATTCAGAAGCCTCCCTGCTTAAGTGCTCCTTCTTCTAATCAGTGCTCCTGATTGAGACTCCTGTCTCACTCAGTGCTTTTCTCCTATATTTATCACAACATATTGAAATCTTTTGTTAACTTAGTCTTCTTTCTTTTGCACTGTATTGTAAATCCTTGAGTGGAGGAATTATGTCTGGTTCAATGCTGCATACCCTAAGACTAGTGTAGTGCTCAGTACATGGTAGTTGCTCAATAAATATTTGTTAAATGAATGAATTTTAAGTAGAAGTCTGGAAGAACTTGCAAAGCTATTTGGAGAGAAATAGATATTCAGCAGAGAGAGCTATTTGGAGAGAAATAGATATTCTTGTTTAGTGAATGATTATTCTGATTATTATTCCCCTTATCTCTATGCTTTGGGCTTGCAATTTATAAAAATTGAGCAGAAAAAAATTTAAAGGTTAATATTAGTTGGGAAAACATGTCACAAAATAATAAGTGATATGAAACAATAAGCTAAATGTGTCAAACCTACTGTAAGATAAAGAAAAGTGAATGAAAAAATAAGATTGTGGGGAGGGGAATGTCTTTTCAGAGCTTACTAAACAGAATTCTCTTTGCTGGCACATTTCATTTAATCCTTACAATAATTGAGGTTGCTTTGTTACGCCTGTATTAAGGATAAGGAAATTAAAGATTAGAGCAAAATAAGTTGAAGGATCTTGTATCTTTGATACAAGTGACCTACAAATAAGAAGTAAATGAAAAGAAATTAAAATCAACCCTAGAAAGTATTATGAAGAATATGCGAGGGTAAACTGCCCCATACAGCAAAAAATGACCCTTTTGCTGGGTATGTCCGCATACTTCCTTTTTTCCACTAGGATAAACTCCTCCTCCTCCTTCAAGCTCGGGCTCACTCTGATTCCCTCTTGAGCAAAACTTTCTTCATTACACCTGCTTTCTGATTTAACTAAAGTTTTTTAAGTCTAGTAAAGCACCCTGACCTCTCTTTTAAAGAAATGCCAGTAACTCCGGCACTGAATAACAACGCAAAGCAGACTGTCGCAAAAAAAAAAAAAAAAAAAAAAAAAAAAAAAAGGCAAAACCCTTAACAATGGCAGTGTTTAAGTGACCACATATTGCATCGTAAGAGATCCTGGGGTCATTTTCGAGATCCACCACTTCCTACCTCTGTTAAGTTTGGTGAAGTCTCTTTAAACTTTTTAAGTCTCAGTTTTCTTACTAATAAAAAGAGGATACTTGCAAGAGTCTTTTCCCTACTCCTGGACTTCTATAACAGTCAAGTGAGATGTACGTTAACACGCTTCACACTTAGTAAAACGCTGCAAAATGTTGACCACAACAAAAAGAAGGCCATTTGCTGGGAAGAGGAAGCCGAGCGTCGCCACGTGACGTCATCACCTCGCGCCCGCCGCGAGGGTCTCCCCGCTGGGCTCGGGGCAGCATTCCGCGCCATGGGCGCTTGGCAGCGTTTGCTGCGTTTTGGTGGGGTGGTACTCCGCCCTGATGGCGGGTCCACCTCCCCGCTTGGGAGAAGCCGAGCGTTGGTTTGTCGGCGCCAGGTCCGTGGTGCTGCAGGGCAGAGGGAGGCGGGCGGTCGGAGTTGCTACGGTTGCACTGGTATAGCTTTGGGCGAGGACTCGTGGGCCCACGCCCACTTGGCAGCTCGCTGAGACCCTTTAAGTCTGCTGGACGTCCTTGCTTTTCAGGCAGGCCTCCGGTAGGACCAGGCTGAGGTTTGGCGGGACAGGTAGCGTGGTTAGAACATAGATGTAGTATGCCACGTTGCATTATTGGTTTTGAGTTATTTAGTAAATAAGATAAAGAGAAGGAAAACACGTGTAAGATTTAACTCCGCAAAGAGACGCATTATTTATTTTCCTTTTTTTTTTTCTTTTAACGTCAGGGTATCCTGGCAGATAAATTTCAATTTAAGCAATGTGTCTTTACAACTGATACCAGTAGCAGTAGGTAAATATCACTAAAGTGGAGATGAACAGAATTAGAAAAGAAAGCCCTCTTAATCGCAAACCCCGAATTGTTTTTACTTTACAGTGTGGTAATGGAGATGTCTTAATTAAAACGTTTTGTATTTTATTTTTTTAAAGTTATCTGGTGCTGAGAGTGAGACACTAAAACAAAGAAGAACACAAATCATGTCCCGAGGACTTCCAAAGCAGAGACCAATAGAAGGTGTTAAACAAGTTATAGTTGTGGCTTCTGGAAAGGGTGGAGTTGGAAAATCTACCACAGCAGGTATTATAGGATGTTAATTCTGATCTTGATTAAGAATTTATGCCAACTGGCAAATGCACACTATTAAAATTATGGTTTTTTTTTTTTTAAAGTTTATTTGTGAAGTTCTTAGTTTCAAGAGTTGGTAGTACATAGAAACTTAGATTTTGGAGTTAAGACAAAACTAGGTAGGTCTTCTAACCCCTTAACTGAGGAAAAAATGGTCAGATTGCCCAGCAGATCTTCAGTTTACTTAACTGTAAAATGGGAATGATAGCTTCTTTCATAAGATGGTTATGCAAATTAAACAAGCTAACCACTTAGCCCAGTGTCTCTTACATAGCAAGTGCTCAATAATAGGTTGCTGTTATTTTTTAAACATCTAGTAACTTTAATACTAAATTATTTTTTGTTCATTGGTGTTCTTTTTCAGTCTTTATCAGTGTAGATAGCCATATTTGGTACTTTCCAAGTATAGCAGTTTTATGATTGTGCAACTAGCTACAAATCCAACTATAAGGTGTTATTAGCTTCATTTTTCTCCTGTTTTGACCAGAAGGGATTCGTGGAAGAGTTTGTCAGATACCAATATTGGTACCAATATATGAGAAAGTATACAGTGTGTGACATACAGTAGGTGCTTCTGAAATGTTCCTTCTTCACTTTCTTTCTGTTAACATGATATCTGTCCCAGACGGCTGGCCTATACTTTTTCGTAACAGCTCTGTCAGCATACGTAAGCCTTAGAAATAGTTTATTTCCATGCAACTCTGTTGGTATTATATTTCTTTCCCTTATATGTATTTAGTACTCTCCCAAACTATTTCAAAATACTTTCCATTAGAATATATCTGCTAGAGATAGTTTGGATTAGAATGATAACAGTTGATAAATACCAATCATGCACTGTGATTCTGTTGTATAAATGGAGATAGAACCTAACTTTAAGATGAATTACTCTCTAAAAGTTTCTGCTTTAAAGTTGGGTTATGTTTTAACCTATCTTGAACCTGAAATTCAGAATTATTTTATAATTTTTTTTTTTTTTTGAGACAGGGTCTCCCTCTGTCTCCCAGGTTGGAGTTCAGTGGCATGATCATAGTTCATTGCAGCCTCAAACTCCTGGGCTTAAGCGATCCTCTTGCCAGAACCTTCCTAGTAGCTGGGACTATAGGCGTGCACCACCATGCCTGGATAACTTTTTTCTATTTTTTTGTAGATACGGCATCTTGCTCTTGCTCTTGCTCTGGCTGGTCTCAAACTCCTGGCCTCAAGCAACCCTTTCGCCTCAGCCTCCCAAAGTGATAGCATTACAGGCGTGAGCCACGGCACCTGTCCTATTTTATAATTTATAAAAATGAATTTATCAAGTTCTATGCCCTAGGCTAAGTACTTAGTGTTTCATTTAATCCTCACAACAGTTATGAAGTAGGAATTATTCTTTTACAGAAGAGGAAACACATTTATTGATAAAATAGCCTATTGAAGGTTACATAATAGAAGGTGGTAGAGCTGGGATTTGAACCAGATCTGCCTTAAAAATTTTCTCTCTTAACTACTTTAAAGGAAACAACCCTGACATAATTGATAATATTGGTTCTGTAAGGAAATGGGATTCAATTATGAGAGTCTATTAAATAGTCTTGGAAGTGTGTTATTTTTGGAACTCTTTTCTCAGATGTAGCATATCCCTATTGCTGCGCTAAAGCTGGCTTATGGACTACTACTTTCTTCCTTTATGTCTCTGGGATTCACTGGTATAGGCAGTCTTGGGAAAATGTATTACCCTCCCTACTTTTTACCCGTTTCCCTTCCCTCTGTGCACAGTAGTCTAGCCTTTCATATACTGGTTATTTATGAGTTAGATACTTGGAACTCCTGGAATATCAGCATTTATTTTTAAAAGGCTATAGAATCATATCCATTTTTATTTATCCAAGGTAATTTTTTTACAAAATATACTTTTGGAAATAACTATTCTGTTAGTATTTTTTTAAAAAACTAAGTGATTATTTGAACAAAATTGTAACAAATTATAAATTGATTATTTAAAATGTTAATTTTGGAGCATGTGTCTATTGCTTATGTTGTAAAATTACTTTCTTTTTTACATTTTACTTTCTCTCCATGTTCTTGTTCTTTACAAGTAAGGGAGATATATTAAAAATTTCTGTGCTTAGGATATTATGTTGAAAATATTAACAGACAAAATGAACTTTAATAGAAGGAAAGTTACTAAATTCAATTACTTTTTTGTTTCTTACAGTGAACCTTGCACTTGCACTAGCGGCAAATGATTCGGTAGGTGTTTGTTAATAGAAATATTAATTTATTAAAATGTTTTTAAGGCAGTGATAAAGAGCATATTGGTGTTTTTGATTTACTCTTTCAGAAGCTATATAATGTAGTTTTAGTTGCGTGTTTCTAAGGAACTAAAAAAACTGCCATCAGTATTGGTTACATTTAATAATAATGATGCATTTAAGTATTGACCATATATTGTTTGCTATACGTCTCACAAAAGGCTTTGACGTCCTTGCATCGACATCATATCCTAAGCCAGTTTTCCCATTTATGATTTACAGAAGAATTATTCTGAGTTCAGTTTTTAAGTATTAGTAATTCAGGTTTTTTTTTTTTTTTTTCCTGAGGTAAAAGATGTTCTAGAAGCAGTGACTATCCATTGAAACAAAATTTGAACAGAATATGTGTGTAATATAAAACTGAAAGTTCATATACCCTCTTTTCTTCCAAAAGATTAACTGTGGGCTCTAGTTTTATGTGTATCCTCTCAGCTTTTCCTCTGTCCATATTAAATTTTCTAAAAATACATATTTGTATATGTATGTGCATATAACTTTCTATGTTATACCTCATTCTTAATGGCTGCTCCATTAATGATTGGCCATAGTATATTTAACCAGTTTCCATTTGATGAAATATTTAGATTGGTTCACATTTTTTTCCTATTCTAAATGATGCTACAGTGGAGTTCTTATATACTAAGTGATGATATTTTTATAGGTTAGATTCTTAAAAGTAAAGCTACTAGGTCAAAAGGTGTGCACACTTTAGATTATACTCCTAAACATTTGCTGTATTTTTTTTCAGCTGTAGTTTTTGAGAGTACCCCTTTTTAAAATTCTCAATAATGTTAGATTTAGTCTATCTTTTTAGACATTTAATAGTAAAAATTAACATTGAATTTATTATGCAGCTTCATAAATTATCAGCTAGTTAATAAAAATGCACACATATTTAAAAATTGATTTTAATTTATCCTTCATTCCTATTTTATAAAGTGCAGGCAAGAATCATTTAATAGGTTTAGCTGTGGCTATGCTTCTATCTTATTTTCTATCCTTACTATGTAACTTCCAATAAGTTCCTATTAGACAGCATACATGAAAAAATAATATATGTTATCTGTACAAGTATGTTATCAATGTGTAGAGTCCAGAATCTGCCAGAACCCAGAAAACTAGGCACATAGATGTTCATGTCATCTGATGCTTGGCTATATGTTACTTCTGAAAATTGGAAACTAATAAACAACATTTATAATATTTTGATTATGTAAATTTTATTCACTGCAGCATAAATGGACTTTTACAGAAGAAAATGTAATCATATTTTTTTTAAAGTTGTGCTTCTAGAATGAGAAGATTCCAATGTCAAGATCAATTTTTTTCTTTTAAAATTTTTTTCAACTCTCTTCCTTTTATGGGAGATTTATTTTCATATATTCCATCTTGTCCTCTTTCTTGAATTCTTTTTTTTGTTTGTTTTTCTGGGGCTATCCTTGAGTCCTTGTATGGGTTGATGGGCCAAATAATGGCCTGCCAAAGATGTTCACATCCTAATTCCTAGAACCTGTGAATATGTTGCCTTTCATGGCAAAAGGGACGTTGCTAATGTGGTTGAGTTGAAGATGTTGAGATGAGAAGATTATCCTAGATTATCTAGGCAGGTCCAATATAATCATAAGGGTCTTTATAAGTGAAATGAGGAGGCAGGAGAGGCAGAGTCAGAGTAATTAGATGTAAGAATGATTCAGTCCACCATTACTGGGCTTGAAGATGGAAGGGAACCACTGGTCAAGGAATATTAGCAGCTTCTAGAAGCTGGAAAAGACAAATGAATTCTTCCCTAGGGCCTCCAGAAGGTATGTAATTCTGCCAACATCTTAATTTTAGCTCACTGAGATCCATCTGGATTTTTGTAGTAATTCTTACAGAAGTAGGAAACTAATACGTATAGGAAGACAATTTATTTAGTTCTTTAATGTCTAAGATGTCTTTATTTTACTTTCATATTTGCTAATTTAACTAGATTGCAATTAACTAGAGAATTCCAGGTTCAAAATAATTTTCTCTCTGAACTTGGAAAACAACATTCTGTTTCCTTCTAGCATGCTATTGAAATGTCTGATGTTAGTCTGATTCATATTCCTTTGTAGTAACCTGTGTTTTCCTTCTCAAAGTTCTTAAGGTTTTTTTTTTAATGTCTTTTAAGTTTAAAAGTGCCACAAATATGTGTCTGGTTGTTGGCTTTAAAATTTTTTACCTGCTTAGAAATTGGCCTTGCACTATCAAGGCTCGAGACTCTTTCAGCTTAGGGAGAATTTCTTTTCATTGATTACTTTCTGTGATGTGTTTGTGCTCTCTCCAGAAACCTGTTAGGTAGATATTGACCTTTATGCTTGTTAATTTTTCTCTCATATATCTATCCCTTTATCTTTTGCTCTGTGTTTTGAAAGATGTCTAAGACTATTTTTCAAATGGCTATATCGAATTTTAGCTGTTTAGGCCCTCTGAATTTTGTTTTTAATTTAGAAATTATATTTTTTTCCAATTATCCAGAACTGTTTCTTATTTCCTACTTGCTGTTCCTTAAAAAAAAAGTAGTACCATTCTCTTGAATCTCTCTAAGGTTGCTAATAAGAATTAGTAAAAAGTGTTTTTTCTTAATGATCTCTGTTTACTTAGGATGGTGATTCTTATAATGTAGCCCAGGTGACCACCAGAATCAGCAGTATCTGGGATGATAGACATATAAAATTTCAAGCTCCACCCCAGACCTACTGAATCAGAAACCCTGGGGGGTGCAGACCTGCAATCTGTGTTTTAACCAGCCCTCTAGGTGTTTTTGATGCATGCTAAAGTTTGAGCCATCTAAACCATGCATCTAGATGTTTAAATTTCTGATCTGCTAATGGCACCCTTTTTAGTTTTCTAGTGTGGTTATGATTTTCTTAGGTGTTAAACTAGTTTTTTTCCCTTGTTATTTTAGTAGAATATGGAAGAAAAGGGAGATAAACATACATGTTTAGGCGACCTTATAGATGTAAAAGCTAGTAATACATTTTTTCCAGTAATGGTAATTAGGGTACTTAGTTACCCAGGAGGAAGGACCCTGTCTTCCTTAAAGAAGAAAGGAAACAGGGAAAATTCAATGGATGGGAGGGTAGATACATTTGTAGGTTTGGGCCTCTTTTGATTTGGTTATCCTTTCAGACAAAGCTTTGAGTCTTATAGACAATGTGAAGTAATTATGAAGGGATTAAAGGATGAAAAGAACAGTTAAAAAAGGGCTCAGCTCCCTCATGTTAAATGCTGCTAGTCTTGATGAAGTGGTAGCTTGGGAAATTTCCTTTTTTCTGTTTCTGTTTTTTTCCTTTCAGGCAGTAGGGGTGAGGACAGCTTCATCTTTAATGCCATGTGCATGACAGGGAAATTGACAACAAGAAAGGAAAAGCAATAAGACTATCTCTGGGCCACCTCTTCAGAAAGCATTTAGTATCCTTATGTGTTTTTAGTCATGTTTGTAAAATCTCCCTTAAGAACATCTTTAGTATTCTCTTATCCTGATGGTGTTTTTTAAAAAACTTTTTGATATTTTAGCAAAGTTAGTATAGAAATTATGAATTAAAAAGCCAAGAAATTTGAGTGAAATATTGTGATAATTCTAAGATAACATGATATAATACTATATTTTATGATTGACTACTATCTTGTTCTCTTTAATACATTTATATATACTTAAGAAAGAGGGGCTGAGCGTAAGAAAGAGGAGCTGGGCGTGATGGTTCATGCCTGTAATGCCAGCGCTTTGGGAGGTTGAGGTGGTAGGATCTCTTGAGGCCAGGAATTCAAGACCAGCCTGAGCAACATAGTGAGAACCCATCTCTACAAAAAAGTAGACAAATCATCCGGGCATGGTGGCCTGCCTGTAGTCCCAGCTACTCAGGAGCCTGAGGCAGGAGGATCACTTTAGCCAAGGAGTTTGAGACTGTAGTGAGCTGTGATGACACTACCGCACTCTAGCTCAGGTGGTAGAGTAAGATCCTGTCTCAAAAAGAAAGAAAGAAAGAAAGAAAGTTAATAATGCTTATATACTTGATTAATAGTGTTTATGATTAGGGAGCAGCATGTTTGACTTAAATAATTTTTTGAAATATGATCTACCCCAGTATTGCATGAGTATAAAAAGAAGAGCTATATCTTTCCTATATGATTTTTATGTATCCAGCATAGTCCAGGCGTCTGTTTCCCAACTTGAGATTTTTTAATATTATACTTATTTAGAGGACATGCTTGGTCTTTGGGGGAAGCTCAGGGTTCTTCTCAGTCCTTCTCTTTGCCTGAGCTGATACAGATGGCTCAGGTCCAGGGACATTTATTGGACATGGTGCTAGAATGTGTTACTTTAAGAGGTTAAAAGCTCCAGTCAGGATGGTGTCTTTGGAGCTTCTTTAGTGACTCATTGCCACACAGTCTTAATTATTCTATGTATCTCCTGTTGTAAGAGGGGTATTGTAAGACCTGTTTCTGCTTAAACTACCTTTGCTTAAGACCCTACTAACTCTTTTCTCCCATCTTTTCTATGGGTTGGTACCTGTTTTTCAGCATTGGAATGGGAAGATCTAATTAACGTAAGGTTGTACATCTAGGTGAAACAGGTGAAGCTAGGTGAAATAGGTGAAGCTATTCATTCTACTTTTTGTGTTGTCCTTAGTAATCTTTGAAGTGGATTGTGTAAGCCACATGGACGTAGGTAAGACAGTCCAATAGGGTGTGGGCAGAAAATTTTTCTTTTCTATTTGTATTAATTTTTATCTTTTAAAATTTTTCTTGTGTATGTTTTCTAATTTATATGATATTAGTATAGTAGCTCTAATGTAATTTATAAAACATGTATTACCATACTGAGGATGTATGCCCAGACATTTTTTTTAACTGATTGGGATACATGATCAGAAAAGTTTGAATGTCACTGGCTTGGGAAAAAAATTTTTTTGG